TGGTTGCCAAACTTTACACTCACCTTCAGGATCAGTACCCTGCTTCCATTTGTCTCTGAGCCAGCAGCACTACTTGAGATCGTGAGCACAGCCTAGGGACTCTTGATGCATTGGAATATGTCTTCAGTGACAGAATGTATGCTCGATCTCTGACAGTCATACTGGCCCCATGAAAAAGCCATCCCTGTACACAGGCAGCCTCTCCTGCTTTGCTCTGGTAGACTCTATTTTCCAAATGCATTTTGTAGAGGGTACAGATTCTGCAGAGAACGTACATACAGAAATGTGAAACCCAGGATACAGACCTTGCTCAAGCAGGTCTGACTGGCTTCCTCTTTTTGCACTAAAATCTCATTACCAAATCATATTCTACCACTTACAATGCCTCTGCATATGGATGAATCCTAGTTATTGGAATAAAATGCATGGACATACAAATATACAACATTCTTCTTCACATAAAAGACACCAAATGTACACAGTTTGCTCTTTGCCAGGCAGAAACTGAAAACTACAGTCATTTAAACATTCTAGCTTCTGTCCCTAAAAATATATTTCTAATAGAATGGAAAAAATATCTTAATTAAAAAAAATGGAGGCGGAGGGCAAGGTGATATCTAAGAAGAGTCAAAATGATATTTCAGGTCTCTGGTTCTATTTTGAGGAATAAGTCCAGTTTTCATGAAATCTATCTCAAATTTGGTTGCTTTACCACAAGGGCTAGGATGCAATGCTTCTGAGATATATATGATTTCAAAAGATTTTGGTCAACTGTCAGTGATCAAGTAGTGTCAGTGTAACCCTAGCAATGTGTTAAAAAGTGGAAATGAGATAAATTCATCTGTAGTTCGCATATTAGGCACTTCCAATGGCACAGTGGGATATGGCAATATAGAACTTTATGTGAATGTGGAAATCAGATGCCTGGGTTATAAAAGAGCATGCTTGTGTAATGGGCCCTTTGACATTTTGCAGCATTGCTGTTTCTTGTGGCTACCTTTGCTTTGGGGCTACTATTTTGCCAGGCCAAGGAGTCTACAAATACTGAAAGGCTCAGAAGCTGACATTAAAGCTTTGATGCGCAAGAATGCTTCTTTAGTTGCAGGTGACCAACATACATGGTAGTGATCTGGGGAAAGCATGTAGAGCATTTCCATCCTAACCCTCTTCTCCAAATGTAGAAGTCAAGCCTGCTATGTGACTGAGATAATGAAAAAATTGCCATTTTGCTGGACAGAATGTGGATAGGGGAAGTATATTGGGGCACACGAAGAAGTTATTTGCCACAAGAAAAAGGTAAGCTATGCACATCTCTGAGCCAAAGTAGGAAAATTCTGACTAGAAAAGGAGATTCTGAACCATCCACAAGACTAATTGATTGCACAAGTGGATTCTGTGGCCTTGTAGTGCTGAGGAAAAGCAAGAGTGAGCTGCGAGGAGAGGTCAAACCCAAGGTGGCAGGAGGAGCTGGACAGTCTAGTGGACAGCTGAAAAAGACAACTCAAAGACATAAGAAAGTCCGAGGACAGATCTGTAAGAAAAGGAGTTTGAAGAAAAGCTATAGGTTTTTTTAAATGTTGATTTAAAACCAGCATATAATCCCATGCAGTTGACACTGCTGGTATCAAATAAACAACAAAGCTAAGCTCACCATGCCCCCATCATCACTGGAGGACCCAAAAGTAGGGCTTCCTCTCATTTTAGTGAATATTGCTTCTGTTTCCCACTAGTGAAAAACACAGCCTGATTGAAAATGTCTTTGCAAATGCTATCATTATTTTAAATCCTCTGCATCAAATTCTTTTTGTACTCAAGTAAATACCGAGTAATAACAATTTACACTGATCCTGTAAGAAATAGTGAAGGAAAAGAGGTTTAGCTATAACTCATGAAGGTAGTTTATCTCATAGCATCAGAGAAAAGCTATTGCTGCAAAAAGGATTTTAAAGGTTCTTGTAGCCACAATATGAAACCTATTCCTCCATAGCATTCAAACCCTTCTGCTTTACTATTAAAGATAATACCACATAAATACAACTTAATCCAGGCATCTGAACTTCCTTCTGCAACATGTGTATGATCTTTCCATTTTTATACACAACAAATCTGATAAACAGAGATTATATAAAGAAAAATCATTGGAACATTACAGCGTGAGTATAGCACAGACTAGTTTCCTTCTTTTCAAGTAATCCCAACATAAACAGCCAGAGGAGTCTAATAATTAGAAAAAAACTGACTTCTGTTAGGAAAAAGATAATGATGTTAAAAAATATACCCAACTTTGAACATACTTTACTTTTTGCTGAATATTTTTAAATGGTTAAGTTTCTAAAAGCTCTTTATCACTAAAGAAACCAAATTTCTGCTTTACTTTGCTGCCTTTTGTTTTTTTTTAATATACACTGCCACCATCTCTTTCTCAACAACCCTTTCGGATCAAAAAAATAAACCAACCAAGAATAAAGAAGATGATAAGGAGGAATAGAAATAGAAATATCTGTTAGGATTAGGAGTAAAAACAAAATCCTAAAAGTACTTAGGACAAAATAATCACAGATAACCAAACTCTTGAATGCCCACTACTCAGGGAGGGAGGCACAGGCAGAAACAGGGTGCAGAAGCTGATGCTGGTACCAGAAAAGACAAGCCACAGAGCAGTAGATAGAGATTTGTGAGTAAAGACCTTTAAAGACCCATGATGAGTCAGATATGACAGCCACTTGAAACATAATCCTGAGGAAGAGCACTAGCTTTCTTGTGAATGCATTCTGACAAAGTTTAAAGTGCATTGTTTATTCCTCTAAGCACGTAGATAAGCCTGAGAAACACAGGAGCATACAAATGCATTACTAAGTGGAATGTCCTGCAACATAAAAATAATTGAAGTAATAATCCTGTGGTCCTCTAAATAGCTATCATCTGTATTTCTTGCATGCAATTAAAACCAAGCAAATAATGGTGATTATTTTGCTGCAAGATATAATGCTGAAAGGACTGTAACAGGGAGAGGTGTGGTGCAATTCCAACAGGAGAAGGAAGACTGTGCACAGAGGCACTCTGCTAGCACTGCCCAGTGGAAAAATCTGGCTCTGAAGAGATGTAGTAATCATACGTACAGGCAGAAGTGGGCAAAATGAAGGGCACTTAGGAAGGGAAGTATTTGCAGTTCAAAGCTATTTCACTAACCTTGCAAAGTTGCCATCACAATTGTTCTCACAGAGCAGAGTTTTCTAGCAACTTTCTAGTTTATTTATAACACAAAATGGCTAAAGCCAAGTGGCTCTGTAAAAAGAGTGAAAAATCTCATAAACAGTTGGGACCAGACATGCAGGGCAGGCACCAGCAAGAGGCATAATAGAGAGTCCTATGGGTACCTGTGAGGGAGGCATCAGGGTCCCTGAAGTCTTGTAAGGTGGCTTGCTAAGGAGAAACTTCACCTGGCTTTCTTCAAGGAACTGGAGAAACTACCATACCACCACAGTTCCTGTCTGCAGGCAGTAAGGCATAGGATGAGCTTTGTATATTGAGTCAGTGTGCTGACTTAACAGAATCCAGGGCGTGAGATGAGAGCATTGGCCCATCTATTAGTATGCGGCTGTGTGGCTGCATGGTTACTCCCAGGGCTTGCTGGAAAACCGCTACTGGACTGCTCTGAGGGGCCACAAGCATCCCCATAGCTCTTGCAGAGAGTCCAAACAATGCTGGAAGGAAATATCACAGTCCAAAGCCCAGGAGGCAAGTGCAGCTTCTTCACCACAGAAAATTGCACTCAGGTACTAAGGACACAGAACTACTGTGTGACAGATGTGGCCAACCTCAGTGCTGGACACAAGGTCTGAGAGATTGTACCACCACCTACATCAGGTGCCATGGTCTCCTTACAGCATTCAGTATTTACCAGAAAACTCTGGGCAATGTGGAAAAGGGTCATAAGCTCCATGAGACAACCAACTGACTAGACAGAACAGTACACTTCTCTAGAAATGGGACATTATGCAGTGCTCCCTACTCTTACAGCACTGCTATCTGGCAAGTAAAGGCCAGGGTTTGCTGTAACTAGTTCTCTAGCCAGGACCTACAAAATATCCTACAGACCCACTTCAAACAGAACATCTGTGAGCACTGTGTCTGGAAATGAAAGCCTGACAAAGGGGCTCCACTTGGTATTTTGAAAGACACGGGTTTTACTCATTATGCACTTTCAAATCTAAATTCCTCTGAGGCTTTGCTGACTGCCATAGTAAGCCCCTGAAGACAGAGATTTACACAGGTATGCTGACAGCAGAATCAAACCCCTGATTTACTACTCCCTAGCTCAGAGCAGAAACACTGAAGTACCACTCCATCCCTCCTCCTCCTGGACAAAGCTCTACTCTCTGGTACATGAAAAATGTATTTTGCGGCTCCAGATAACGATTCATTTTGGGACTAAGATGTGACGCCTCCCCCAGTCCAACTGAGCCGCCGGCGCGCTGCAGTGGTCCCCGAGGTCTGCCGAGGAGGGTGGTAGCAGGCAGCAGCTGTCCCTGACGCCCGCCTCCCGCCGAGTTTCTCTTGCTTCATCCTACAAGAGCAGAGGACAGCGAGTCCCAGAGCCTGCAGGTGTCTCCCAGCGGAGGCAGCTGCGGAGCCCCTTGGGATCATGTGTGGTACCAGAGCAGATGTTCACTTGCTCTTGGTGCTCTTTGTGAGACAGACCCTCTCTGATCCTGTCAGCGCGCTGAAGCACACCGACTACAAGAGGACGGCCGCACTCCCGCGCCTGCAGCTGCTCCTTTAACGTACAAAGGCAGGATTTCAAGTGAAGAGAAGAATGGGAGTCTGGCTGCAGCCTTTCTTTCACTGCTACAACAACAGATTGGAAGAATCTGAGAGTTTTGATGCCTGGACAACTGGATTCTGAATCGTGAGAGGCTTTGACCCCCCCCCGTCCCCAAATAAAACAAGCCCCTTTGACTTCTTCTCTCAGCAGGAGGGGGAGGGAGGGCGGATTTACCATGAAGACAAATCGAAGATGCAGAGCCCTGCTAGCAGTGAGTCTGAATCTGATGGCTCTCCTCTTCTCTACAACAGCTTTTATCACGACCCACTGGTGTGAGGGCACACAGAGGGTCCCCAAGCCGAGCTGTGGGAAAGAGAAGAAGACAAACTGCCTCAACTACAGCGGGAATGAGACTGCAAATGAGACAAACCAGAATGTTGTTCATTACAGCTGGGAGACGGGAGATGACCGCTTCCTTTTCAGGTATTTCCACACTGGGATCTGGTACTCCTGTGAGGAAAATATCAATGCTGCTGGTAAGTATAAACCAACTTCCTTCCAGCTTGTGTTGCTTTGTGTTTGGCTCAGTGTGATAAACACACAGGCAAGCTGTTCTGTGCTGTATCTTAAAGCAGATTCGCCCTGCAGAGAGAGGCAGGATTTTAACAGTTCTTTGTTGAAAAGCAACCTGTTTCCAGAGAGAGCAAAGACTTGCTTGTTTACCTGCTAGCTGATGCAGGATCTGTGCTCTGAAGCCAGCTGAACCTCTGATAAGCAGTATGTGCTACCCCCATGGGCACTGCAGCCAGACTGGTCAGTGCTTCCCTTCTGGGAGCTGCTCCATGGAGCACACAAAGAACAGTGGCTGGTAGTTGTTAAGGAGATTCTGACATCTAATTGTAATTGCCCCTGAAATAACCTAGGACAGTGTCTGAATGACAGGGAAAGCACGAAAGTCACAGTTTTTACCATGCTGTAGCCTGGACTGCCTCTTTTCTGGTATCCCTTAAGCAAATGACCACCCACAATCCCTTCCTGGTAGCTGGATTGCATGTTTATTGAAGGAGAGTGGCGAAATGGCAGTTAAAGGGCACAACTGGGCACAAGAAAGCTCATTTCTGTTCCCCACTTAGCCATTTACTTGCTGAGAACCACTCAAAAGACGTCTCTTCAGCTGTTCAGAGCATTCATTTCCTCTGCTGTACCCTGGCACTTACCAGGAATAAAACACTGGAGGGTGGATAGAAGGTAGCAGCCATGGGACTGATTTAAGTCTCAACAGATGCAAACTGACAATCCTACTCCCAGAGCTGTCTGGTAGAGCTAACATCCAAACTCTGCTTTTGGAAGAGCTTTTTTGCTAGATTATGTGACTGGAAAATAAAGTTTACAAATGTGTAAGATGATGATGGCTTGTGCCATTGCCCAAGGAGCAGACTGGGGAGTTGATCCTTCATGACTGTTGGGAGAGAGAAACAGTTAATCATCCTACATGTTGTATCTCTGAGGGCACAACCTCCCTGATAATGAGAACTTTATGAGACCCTGGTAAAACTTCTCTGTAAGGATGTACTATAAACTGGGGCAAACCTGGGGAGAAGGTCACAGTCCATTTCATCTCAAGGTGCTGTGTATACTCGTTGGTATTTTTCTAGATGGTGCTTCAAAAATTAGTTGGTCATTAAAACTCTTTTTAATGTATGGAAAGGAAAGTTGATGAACTTCGGCCTTGGGATTGTTAATAAACAGTTCCATGCTGAAATGAGGGCACAAAAGTAATCCTCTTGGTGTTAGAAAAAAAATATAGAAAACAACGATGATGTCTCACTGATTTGGAAATAAACATAGGCCACAGCATCCTGAGTGAGCAGCTTAACACTCTCTGACTTTTTGAGCATCTTAGTTGGTATTGGGACAATCGAGCATGCCCAAATTTCTGTCAGATATTGAAAGCTTTCCAAGCCAAGATTTATGTGTGAGATAAGTTGTAACTGTGTGACTCTAGCCCACTCAGAAAACTGAGTTATATGTGGGAGAAGAGAAAAACAGTGATCTATTCTATACTAGGTAAACAAAGCTGTGCTGTAGTGGGTGATTTCAGGAGATAGCTGGAAGACAGCTTTAGAAAGTTATGGTGAAAGCAGGAGCGAAGGCGTTGTTTCTCCCTCCCCACTCCGCCACAGCAGCCACATGTGTGTTTCCTCTTATTTGAAACACTAACTTGGTGAAAAGTACTCTAGAGTTAGCAGACCAGAAGTGACCAGCCTTTGGAAAGAATCCAGACAGGTACAGGGATATATTGGCTTAAACAGAGAGCTGCCTCATTCAGGATTTACCACAGTTATTTTCTGGTAAGGAACAGTATAATGGGCACAGATGTAAATTTGTCCCTAGGACTGTCAGCATAAAATAACCATGAAAGGTCTTAATTCAGACTTATGGGTTTGTAATACCAGACTGTCAGTTCATTGTCATAGCCTTTTGCAGCATGACTGGTGATCATTTTACCTGACTTCCAGGGTAAGGAGGCACCAGGCAGCCTCAACTAACAGCACTGTGATCATGCTTATACACACACCCTGATGTTCAATATATCTGTGAGTAATCCATCCCATGGGCTCATCACGTTGTCCACAGCACACTTAGTGATCACAGTCCTGTAGGTGTCACAAGTCATACCGTCACCATGTTTTTAATAAACAGCCTAGGATGCCATGAGAACATCCAGAAAATACCACTAAGCACACAGATACTCATGTATTAAATTAATCATAATCCCTAGCTTGAATGCACTCCATACTTTCAATGTCATCTTTCTCAAAGCTTTACCAATAGCATATTGAAAGTGACTGCAACAAAAGCCTTCCTCCAGGCAAGGTCCTTTCCGTAGCCACTCCATAGCCTCACACCTCTGTCAGCAGAAATTGCTGCCATAGCCTATGGTCAGCACCATTCCTACAGCTCCTGACCTATCCATGATTCCTCACTGCCAATGTCTGAAGTTAAGCATCATGAATCCCACCAGGAACACATGAAAGCCAGTAACACTCTGTAACTGCAATGCTGTCAAAACCTTCCAGAGACTCATAACTTTCCCAGCCGTGAGCCACATTCTTCATCTAGCCATCAAGCTTTTGACTTCTCTCTCCCTATAGTCACATTTCTGTCAAAACTTTCTGCTCCCTGCACTGGTGTAGCTGTAGTACAGCAGATCTTATAGTGCAGACACAACAGGACCAGTTCCCAGAGGGTTGATACTACAAGGGCCAGCATTGCAGGGCTTCCAGTTGGTTGGAGGGGCTGGGACTCATTTAGGCTGCAATCAAATAAATTTTTGAGTGTCATCTCCTCCCACTCTTTATCTGAAATGTCCATTTAGATTCCAGACATTGAGGTGCAAAAAGCATGCCATCCACTCTCTGTGCAGAGACTAGCAAAGTGGGACTTCATCTTGAGGCAGGTTTCTAGTTTTCACTGACATCTTTAACAGAGATTGAATGCTGTGATTAGTTCTGAAATAATTTGTGAATCTAGAGTTTATCCAGCATGTCTAGGACAGCTAAAGAATCCCAAAAGCATTTAGCACCTGAGAAATAGAATTGTGAATCCCCTTTGGGAATAAGAGGGACTGGAACGTATACATTTAATTGGTGGGTATGTCCTGTAATTATTTAGCACAATTTCTGACTCAAAAGTATGCTGAAATCCAGTCTATTAAACAGAGGATGAAGGCTCTCCTTTTCAGAGTGGGTTCATGCTTTGGATCCCCCACAGGTGGAGGCACCTTCTGTACGAGCAATGCACCTAATGTCTGGAGGCGTATGAAGCTAGAGCATACCCTAAGAGATTTGTAGACTGTGCTGGTTGTGAGTCCTGTTCTGCAGTCACATGCTGCACAGAGCACTTGATGCCTCCTCCTGGATCATGAATTCCTTGGCTATGGCCAAGCGTCTCTGAGCCAAGCTCTCTATCATTTAATTTCTTCTTTGGTATGACTTTGAGTACAAATCTTGTTCCACACCTGCAGCCTCTCACTGTGCTTGTGTCAGTACTGGACACCCCACAAGACACCAGACAAGAGATGTGCCACAAGAGTGGCAGTGGTAAACTAGCTGGTAGACTCTGTGACTCAAGAACATACATGTCATGAAAAAATAAATGCATGAAGTAAGTAACGTGGCATACCTTCTCCTAACAGGTAGAGGAGTTTCAGAGCTGGGGAACAGCAACATGTTAGCTGAGTTTGCTCAATAGTGTGTTTGCTTTGATTCTAATAGAAAAAAAACATGAACTCAGATCTTGGTTTAGTTACTAATGAACAGACAGTCTCAGCAATAACATCCACATTCAGAGGGAAAAGCAACTGCCTAGGTGCCTCTTAAGAGTACTATTGCATTATATAAAAAACTAGCCTTTCCATGTTACTCACCAGGCTCCATAGAAGCCAGGGAGACCAGGAATGGGTATGCATAGGCTTGTTTTGTATTCTTGGAGTAATATTTTGAGGGCAAGGGGTCTGTTTGTATCCTCTGTATCACATATTCCTTAGCACTATTCAAGAAGTAAATGGTAGAGTAGAATTTAGGTGGTATGTAAGGATGCATCAAAATGTGCCATAAATATGGACATTAAAAGCACATTTGAGAAGGAGCCAGAGAACAAGAGAGGTGTATCTTGCAGAAATGAATAAATCTGGAACACATAAAGACAAGAACTAGCCCTACATTGTCGCAGATCCAGGCCGGTACTGCATCACCCTTCTTCCCCGCCACCGTGGGATAATAAGCATATGTGATTCACCATAGGCTTCTGTCCAGAGAGAGGGACCAGGGTGAAGCACCTTGTGAGTATATAATTAAAAGCAAAAGGAATTGGGAATTCTTGCTGGATTATGAGAAATACAATATAATTGGCATGACTGAAACCTGGCGGGTTTATTCGCATGACTGGAATGCAAAAATTGCTAGTTATAAATTGTGTAAGAAGGAAAAAGTGGTAAAAGGAATTGAGTAGGTAGAGCTCTATATTAAAGAAAAAATTTCCAGCGATAGAGGAACTGAACCCAGGGGGCCTGGATAATCTCCATCTGAGGATGTTGAAATAATTGGCACATGAAAATACAGGGTTAGTAGCAAGAATCTGCACATGCTTGTATTCAAAGAAGACTGGGAAAAATCATACAGGCGACTTGAAGCAGCAACCTTAGGACAGTTTTCAGGGACAGCACAACAAATGGGTTTTATCAAAGGTAGAGTTTTATTAAACGTAAATCTTTTAACAGGATGAATCACTTCTTAGACAAGGGTAATGCACTAGACCCAGTCTCTATGGATTTACAGAAAAGCATTTGATGGAATGTCCCACTGAAAATTCTTTACAGAAAAACTACAGAGAGTGGAGGGAATGTTAACAATGTGGTGATAGATGTAGGCATGCTTCACACCGGGGAATGCTGAAGAGCCTGAGCCTCTTCAGGCAGGCAGGAAGGCACAATGTACAGAGAACTATGATACTGGTGGTATCAACTGGGAATGAC